ATTTTAGCTTATAGTTTCGAAATTTTTATGCTGCTTGAAAATAAATTATTTATATTATTGCTTAATTTAACAATCATAAATAATATTAATTAGATGAATTATGTATAAACATTATATTCAGTATATGAGTATCTTCTACAATGATTAATTTGAATTATTTTATTTATAAGTCTACTATTGCTGATTTTGAAACAAGTTATATTTATTCAAAATTTATTAAAAAATACAGCGCCCTCTTATGTCAATTTTATTTCATAATGTTATTATAATTATTTATTATTACATTATTTACATATACTATTTATTAATTTCTTACACTAGAAAAATTTTCTTTTTTACAATACAAAAGTTTTACATATTTTTTTCATTTAGTTCTATTTTAATACGATTATTTATTTAAAAAATTAATTTTAATAAAAAAATATAAAGTATATTTTTTTATATGGACAAATTTGTAAAATTAATATTAATTTGTCATTGAAAATATTTCAAGCAAATACATATTATACATAAATTCTGGACTATACAACTTTATTATGTTATCAACAATTATGTTCTTTACGTATTTTTTATCATGTCACTTTATAATGTAATACTTAAATATAGTTATAAATATAAAATTATATATTCTAATAAGTTAGCTGAAAAAGTATTATAGTTTTCTGATTTGTAATTGTTTGTATTCGGCGAGAGGCACGTCCCAAAATCAAACTGATAAGATCAACAAAAAGATTTTTTTTTAAACTTACAACTTTTGTCCGAAACATTTCTTAGAAAAATGTTATCCTTCCAAGTAAATCTGGAATCCCGATCTTTATTAAATACCCTGTATATTATCCACCATTGACAATAATCCACTTTATGGCATTTATGACATTTTTATTCTGGCCTTTAAAAACCATAAAAGACAATAATTTTTATTTTCTCAAAAAAATATCTTGTATTATCATATTATCAACAAAATATTTTTGTCAAAATTTTTCTTACATATTGTTTTTATGGATTTAAAAACCTTTTTTTATAATTGAATTTTATGCATTAATATCTATTTGCGTGGAGACTTTGTGTCAAAAACGAATCCAATGACAAAAATATGTTGTTTTTTTCAGATCAAACTTAAGTGAAGTAGAAGTTTTGTGTTTTCAGTATTATTCAATTTTATTTTATGTCTAGAATAGTATCTACTTAGACATGTATTTGCTTAGATAAAAGAAATATTACCATTATAGTGTCACATTAATTTAGCATATGAATTCGTGTTCGATCAATTTTTCCATTAGGAAGCCGTGGAAAATCATGTGTAATGAAGCGAAAATCGTCAATCGGAAATAACTGATGCAGTTCGGGAAGTTTTTGCAGTATTCTTTTCAGTTGCTCTTTTGTCACCTACGGCACAACAATATGAATTTTCCATCATAGTAAATAAAGACTGCAAGACTTTAACCATGTGTATCAACCTTTTTTCCAGATATTTTATTAATATAAGCTACAAGATGATCGTCATTTGGTACAGTTATTACCACGACATCAGATACAGCCGGATGGAGGCGTAATGCGATTTCGCTACGTAAAAATCTGACAGGTTTGTTTTTGTATGTATAGAAATGTCTATAATGATCAATGACATAAATTTCGTCTTTTATATGAAAGCCCACGTCTCCGATAGAGTACCATACTAAAGGACATATAATTTTATTAGTGCTTCTTTAGAATATCTTGAACTTTTTATTTTTAGAATTATTTTAGAACTTGAAATTTTCATTCCCAATTTGAGCTACAAATTGTAGTCATAAAATCGATTTAAAAAAAATGTTATAGATTATTAAGCTAATGTTGCAAGTCACAATACGTACAGTGTACAGCACTTTCTGTTGATACATGGGTGTTTGATATATGTGGTGTTTTGCAATAGATGAATTTTAACTTTGGATGTATATTGGGATAATTTTTTTTAGCAACAAACAATAATTGAACATTTTTAGTTACTCGACCTTTAAATCTTCGAGAGAAATTGTCTGTCTGGTAAGCAATCACGCCAGTTTCTGCTGTTCCTGAAATATCACAATGATAAACCATTGGTTTTAGATATTCTTTTGCAATTTCATTGATTATCAATTGCAAGTATGACCGTAATAACATACACACCATATACTCGAATGATAGAAACATTTGGCAGCGAAGAGATAAATTTTTTAAGAACAAATATTTCGACTTCCCAATCGTCGAATAAAAATTCTTTCAACGAAGATATATTGTATTTCGAAAAAGAAACGTCATTGGTTTTAAACAATTGATTGAATGTTTCGCTAAGAAATACCCATGTCACCTGCAGCATATACGTTATTAATTTATTAATTTTAATTTATTAATTTTCGAAACAATTCGGGCGCTTTTGTATGTTACCTTATATTTCTCTATCGTCTTATATAAATTTTCTTCGCTGAATACCCTAGATTTAATAACTGTCACATAGGACAATATAGCACGAACGGTCAAAAGTGGACCATGATTCCAATATAAAGATCCGTACCATAGGCCGACAGTATCGGAAACCATAACAGGGGTCTGTTGATTTGACGGAGATATGAATGCTACATAAGGAACTTTTGCCCGACCAGAATAAAACATTGCACGAGAACAAAACGTCATAATTGCGATTTCCATTAAATCATTCTTTTCGCAGGAAAATTCATCAATCTCAGCCTTATCAAAGTTATAATTCAAAATAGATTCCAGAGAGTTCAATTTAACTGAAGGTAATTTATCCTCACCGATGATTACGATTTTAATTATTTTATCAAAATCTTTTAAGAGCAAGATATTTGCAATGAGCTTAACGAAATTATCATTATCGACAAAGATTACATCCGGTTTATTTATCAGCAGAAAGTACATAACTCGTATTGTATCTAAAAACATTCGTTACTGAATAAGTGGGAAGAGTATGTCAGCGTGAAAATAAATTATTCAGAGAAATTTCAGAAAAAGGTAGAACCAACCCTCAAAATATTTTTCATCCCACGGGTTCACAATAGCGCCGATATATATGCTCGCTAGAAACGGCACATAAGCGATCGATGGATTGCGCGTACATATTGTTACTACAGAGCCTTTTTGGACACCTTCTTTCTTTAGCCATAATGCACACTTCACGCTATTCTCTCTCATCTGTTCGAAAGTAATTTGCTCTTCCGTTTCCGCATCTATCTGCAAGTCGCGTTGTTATTAATTCATATTTTGTTTAGTAATTTTATATTCTCGCATTGTTTATTAATGGGTACTCTTTCAAATGCTTATCCACACAGCATATTTCTTATTAAGAATCATTACCTGGCCGATAAAGTCCGGTTTAGTTTTGAATGCATTTAAAATCAGGTCTCCAATATTTTCTTGAGGAATCGGATATTCGTCACCAATTAGACATTGTTCTGTTCCTTCTGTAGTTACAAAAATTCTCTAAAAAAATCCACAATACTAGTAGAGATCTTTTTATATTTTTCTAAGCGCAATGAAATAAATTTTTTAATTTTACTATATGATATATATTTTGAATATATTTTTTACCAGCTCTGCCATGTTGTCGAAGATCACATGTAATTTCTTTTAAAATAATGTTCTCGTTGAGTACTGATACAAACAACGCTATTCGTATCACGACGGATGTCGTGACATGACTAAATTTTCAATTCTACCAATTTGACATTTGTTTATGATTACAATGTGAAATCGACTTTATAACCGAAAATTTAGTGAAAATATTTGGTTCATAGATAGTTGAGCAAGAAAATAATGTTTTGCTCCAAGGTGCAGAACAATATCAAATTCAATCGAGATCTTTACTCAACTTGCTTCTATTTTCGATCTGTTACCAAATTCGTATTCTCGCTCTTGTTTTGAATTCTTCTCATCGTCACGAAACTCTATCGACTTCATTCAATTTACGATATCTCTTGTTGCATTTAATGATTATATTCTAATTGTGTTTCTCGATTATAATGATGTAAATTCAAAGAAAAATCTCGCTTCTAGCATACGATACATACAATAAGCTCTTGGTGAACATATCGTCTTAGCATGGGTCAATCTCAATTCGATGTTCAATGGGGAAAATTTATATCGGCAGAAACAATTCGTTTCGCGTCGACACTCGCACGAATTGTATTCCAAATGGATGATAAATCGTGCGACGAAACCGGAATGAATTATATCGCGCTTTTGCATGCGGCTTCCGTAGCCGAGAACACAACTTGCGATGATCGAATTTTTCCTCTCGTTTTCCTGTCTGCAATGCATCCAAAATATATCAATTCATTTTGATTCTTGAACACGTTTATAAAATTTTAATGCATTGTATTTAGAAAATTAATTTGCGTTTGTAAAAACGTGTAAATATAAATTATTAAAAAATGGATTTATTAACGATTTCGATTATAGACAAAAATATGACATTTTAATTTATTAACTTTTTTAGTAATAAATTTATTATTATATATTTATTATTATATCTTAGATATGCTATCACTTACATTTTTATATTTATTATATCATCAAGTAAAGTGTGATTTAGATTTTTTAAGCAAGATTTAAAATCTCTTACAAATATATT